TGCGGCCCGGGTTCGATCCTCAGCACCACATACCAACAAAGATGTTGTGTCCGATAACTAAAAAATAAATATTAAAATTAAAAAAAAAAAAGAAGAAGAAAAAAAAAAGAATCCATATTTSAGCCAGATCATAAAGATGAGTAGGATTTGGATGGATGAGGGGTAACTAGCATTTAAATAAGAGGCATTTCTTTGGGTTTTAGTTGTTTAAGAAATATGAGGGCTGAGGTTGTAGCCCAGTGGTAGASTGCTCGCCTCGAATGTGGAAGGCACTGGATTTGATCCTCAGCACCACATAAAAATGAAGTATTGTGTCCATCTACAACTAAAAAAAAATTCTTTTTTAAAGAAAGAAATATGTTTTTCTCCACACATTAAATGGTAAGGCCTTTTCAAAACATAACCTTAAGCATATAACTATAACTAAAATACACATATAAAAAAATAATGCCTATCGTGTGTGAGGAATATATGCAGGAGCAGTACAAAGGCAGCATAATGAACCTCTGTTGGTTTTGCCCACTATTTCCCCCTTCCTCTGGTAACAGCACCCCCATTTTCCTTTGGGCAATTATTTCTCCCCATCTTTCAATCCATATGATTCAGCAGGCACTAGGTAGGGGCACATAATCCAAGCTTAAACAGAAACATTCTATTCCCCTCACTGATTCAAAGACCCACAAAGCCAAATTGGGAAAAGACTCACCTTCAAGATTCTTGCTAAATGCTAAAACTGCTAACCTGGTGGGATGTAAGACAGATGTTTTAGTGGTCCATTATCGCCACCTTTTATGAAGAACCTGCTTTCTTATGAAGCAAATACAGAGGAAACCAAATATAAGAAAGCAAGAGGGAGATACCTAAAAATATTGAGATTTGAGATTTTTGGTACAGATTAAGCCTTACTTGACCTAACCCCAAGTTTTTCCATTTCTTGAGCTGATTAATAATGTCTCATTTTATTTAAGCTAGTTTAAGTTTCTGGCACATATAACTGAAAGAATACTAACAAATATAAATGTGGAATCTGCTTGCCAATAATATTAACTGAGCCTTCTCTTCTGTATTTTCACCTTCATAAGACAAAGTTGCCACTCTGGGAATCCTACCTCCTTACCTGATCTGAGGATAGCCTCTATTCTCCGGGATCACTTCTTGAAGGGCTCACTATCAACAACTGTCCCACAAGGTCTGCTTTTGGTAGTGCCCATCCTTTTAAAATGCTCCTTTATTTCCTATGTTTCTTAACCCTAACCCTTCCATACCAATTTTCTAAAGTTTCTTAGTTTTATTTTGTTTTATATTGTTTTGCTTTGGTGCTGGGGATGGAATCCAGGGCCTCCCACATACTAAGCACAATGGTGCATTTACAGGGAGAAATAGGGAAAACAAGATGGAAGTCAAGTCTTGAAGAGGTCACATTTTTAGATAAAAAAATATTAAATGTTCATCAGAAGGGAAAGCAGCATTGCTACTACAGGGACACAGCCACGTCAATGTTTATAGCAGCACAATTCACAACAGCTAAACTGTGGAACCAAACTAGATGCCCTTCAGTAGATGAATGGATAAAGAAAATGTGGTATATATACACAATGGAATACTACTCAGCATTAAAAGAGAATAAAATCATGGCATTTGCAGGTAATGGATGGAGCCAGAGAATATAATGCTAAATGAAATTAGAATATCCCCAAAAACCAAATGCTAAATGTTTTCTCTAAGGATGCTAATTCATAATGTTGGTGGGTGGAGGGCATGGGAGAATTAGATGATCTCTAGATAGGGCATGGGGATAGGAAAGACAGTGGAATGAGATGGACATCATCACCCTAAGTACATGTATGAAGACGATGGTGTGACTCTACTTTGTGTACAACCAGAGACATGAAAAATTCTGCTCTATATGTGTAATATGAATTGTAACGCATTCATATAAAGAAGACTCAGAAGGGGCCATCTGATTCCAATTAAAATCTTTTCTTTCCACTATCGAAAAAGAAATAAATCTAGAGACTTATATTAGGTCATAAAAGAGAAAGTGACAATCCTGTACAACTACATAACGATTTCTAAAGCAGGATTTGAAATAACTTGAACATGTCTAACAGGAAGTTAGAAACAAGCACTCTCTTATAGAACACATTGGGGTTACAAATATAGATTTTTTTTTAATATTTTTAACCAATTTTATTTTTAATATTGCTCAGGCAAGCCTGAGCAATACAATGAGAACAGTCTCCAGAAAATTAGAAAAATTAAATATTAAGGCATACCTTTTTTTAAAAAATGATATTGGGAATTGAATTCGGGGGTACTTTACCACCGAGTACACCCTCGGTTCTTTTTTGTTAATTTTTTTTTTTTAGTTGTAGATGGACACAATACCTTCGTTTTTATTTATTTTTATGTAGGGCTGAGGCTCGAACCCAGCTCACATGTGCTAGGCAGGAGCTCACATGTGCTAGGCAGGAGCTCTGCCACTGAGCTATAGCCCCAGTCCCTGTTTGTTTTTTGAGACAGGGTCTTGCTAAGGTGCTGAGGCTGGCCTCAAACTTGTGCTCCTCCTGCCTCAGCCTCCCAAGTCATCTGGGATTACAGGTGTACAACACTGCACCAACTCTCACTCCTAATTATTAGGAGCAGGTTGAAGATCTTGATGAAGGAATAGAAAACAAGACAGTTCTAAATAGATGATTATGTATTYTCCATTCAAAATTCAAATGTCTTTTTTAAAAATATTTTTCAGTTGTTGATGGACCTTTATTTTATTTATTTGTATGTGGTGCTAAGAATCGAACCCAGTGCCTTTCGCATGCTGGGCAAGTGCTCTAGCACTGAGCCACAAYCCCAGCCCCTCAAATGTCTTAATCTGTGCAAATCACAACTCTTTTCTCTTCTTCATGAAACATAAGGAGCCCCACCACCAAGAGAATATTAGATTAGTATCTGCAGGGCAAAAGAGAATTGGTATGGGATATCTCATCACAAGATAATATCTGTGTCTTAGAAATGGCAAAAACGGGCTGGGGTTGTGGCTCAGCGGTAGAGCACACGTAGAGCATGTGTGAGACACTGGGTTCGATCCTCAGCACCACATACAAATAAATAAAGGCACTGTGTCCAACTACAACTAAAAAAATTAAAAATTTAAGAAAAAAAAAAGAAATGGCAAAAACTATTACTAATGCATTACTGATCACCTGTACAAAGCTAAGGACTGGGAATTTGAGATAAAAACATGTTATATTAAAGCCTTACAGAAACACCAAGCTGCCAGGTGTGTGGCCTACACCTGTAAACCCAGCTACTCCAGAGGCTGAGGCAGGAGGATCATGAGTTCCAGGCCAGCATGGGCAACTTAGTAAAACCTTGTCTCAAAATAAAATCTAAAAAAGGCTGGGAATGTAGCACAGTGGTAGAGTGCCTGCCTAACATGCAGGTTCAATGCTGTAGTACTGCAGTACTGCAAAAAAAAAAAAAAAAAAGGAAGAAAAGAATTTAAAAACCGAACTTCTCTTTTAAATTATGGAATTGATTAAACAGTTTCAGGTTAAGAACCTACTGACCATGTAACTAACATTCTCAAAATTTAAACTTCATTGGCGCTATCTTTTTTTTAATATTTATTTTTTAGTTATAGGTGGACACAATATCTTTATTTTATTTTTATGTGGTGCTGAGGATCAGACCCGGTGCCTCACACATGGTAGGCCAACGCTCTACCTCTGTGCCACAACCCCAGCCCAGGCAATATCTTATAAAAGAATTTAAACTACTCTTGCTATAGAAGAGTATTTTATTTGTCCCCAGATTTTCATCTCAGTTCAGGATTTCGAGTTGGATGAGGGATGACCTAATCCAATTTATTCATCCCCTTATATAGATTTCAAACAAAAATGATCAACCACTTATGGGCAGCTCAGAGCAGAAAACTCTTTCTCGTGTAAAAAAAATGCTATGAAATAACACATCCAACCGAACTCATCTTGGCTCAGAAGCAACCAAGACTCCTGGACCCTTCAAATGGGTGCAAAAGGAACCAAAAGAAGCCAAACCAAAGTATGCTACCGATTTGCACTGAAGCAACGTAAATAAGCTCTTTCTATTGAATTCTATCTAGATAAGATAGAGAGAGAGATGGACAGGCAGAGATAGAGATAGACATTTGTAATCACTTAAGACAACCTCAGCCTTAAGACTGGGGCAAATCCATCAGGATTTTTTTCCTGGAAACGTTACATCTCGGTGTGCGTGTTTAAGAAAGAAGGCGCTGTAGAAATAAAAGTCATGATWTCCCGGACCGATCTTTTCTTCAGCTTTTCTAGTGGGAAAAAGGAAATCTACCACGARTCTAGTGGTTGTTATTTGCCAGGCTCGATAACTGGGGGCTTTTAGTTGTTTTATGCATTCCTGACGTTTTCTGAAACAGACATCATTACATTCGTGACAGATGAAAAAACTGAAGGGAGAGAGGTTTAAAAGCTAATCCACTTCTAATTAACACTCAAATCCTGGCTTTGACTCAAACTCGGAGATTGGGAACGCTGTGTGACGCTGGGGAATTCGCTAAACAGCTCTGGGCTTCAGCTTGCTAGCCATGCAAAACTCCGCGTCCSGGAGGGCAGCGCTGCCACCAACTGCGGGTCGGTTTGCCCTACGCCGCGCGCGGACCTCCAGCAGGCAGCTGCAGGAGCGGTCTGCCCTGGCAGGCGCGACTCTGAAAAACGCCGTGCGAGAAAGGAAGAAAGTCCGGCCCCGTGGGTCACTGTGACCCAAGGCAAGGGCGGCAGTACGACCAGCCCAGGGCCTCGTTTCCTTGGCAGCTTGACCAAGAACTTGGCTCACCTCCGGCCAGAGTCCAGGGCTGGCACCTCCCCTTCACTCCGCGCCTCAGTCGCCATCTTCGTCAGCAACCACTTCCACCGCCCCCCGACTCAGGACCCGCCCCGAGCTTTGGATTGGCTAAGGTGTTTCCCCATCTCGCGTGCGATTGGATGACTCGTCCGCCCCTCCGCAGCTGGACTGGCTACATATTATTGGTCCATTCAAATACCTAACGGTCATTGGTGGCTCCCACCCTGGCGGAACCGRGGGGCGGGAGAGACCCAGCCCGGAGGCCCCGGGAAAGCTCTGGTTTTAATGAACTCTAAGGATGTCAGGGACTCTGAGGTTCCTGTCAGGAATCCCCAGCATAAGCGTCATTTTTTTTTTCTTGCTATGTAAGTAGAACTACAGAACTGTTGAATTTGATAGTCACTTTAAGTGTCACCCTGAACCSGCGCGTGGTGCACATCTGTGACCCCGGCAGCTTGGGAGGCTGAGGCAGGAGGATCGCGGGTTCAAACCCAGCCTCAGCAACTTAGCGAGGCATTTAGCAACTCAGCAAGACCCTGACTCTAATAAAATATTTTAAAAAGGGCTGGGGGCGCTGGGGATATAGCTCAATTGGTACAGTGCTTGGCTCGCATGCACAAGGCCTTGGGTTCAATCCCCAGCATCCCCCCACCCCTGCGTTCAATCCCTGGTACCAAAAAAAAAAAAAAAAAAAAAAAAAATCAAAAGAAGGGGGTCTGGGAGCTAGGGATGTAGCATTCCTGGGCTCAATCCCCAGTACCCAGGGGAAAAAGCCACTCTCTAAAGAGCAAGAATTGTTTTCTACCTTGATACAGAGAGAGAGCTACTTAGAAGAGGAGGCACAGTAATGGCAACGGAGTATAGTCTGTCTCTTTCTGCCAGTTCCCTTCCAGAGCCAACAGCAGATCCAAAACATTTCCGGGGCCGGAGTCTGTACCAGAACACATACAGACTTTTTTTCTTGTCATCATTCCCTAAACAGTACAGTATAACAACTATTTATGGAGCATTAGATATTTTAAGTAATCCAGAGATGATTTAAAGTAGATAGGATCTGACTGGGTTATAAGCAAATACTATACTGTTCTATCTACCTAAGGGCTTTGAGCATCTTTGGGTTTTGGTATGGCTTGGGATCCTGAGACCAAAATAACCCATGGATACCCAGGGACCACTGTTCTTACTCTTCAATGTGATCCAAAGCCTTCCTTCTTTTGTTCTACACAGCAGCAGTAGGTCACTTGTACTTCATTCTACCAACTCCCTTTTGGTTTCCCAGAGTTTGCCTCCCTGGTGTGAATTGTGGAACCAAGAGCTGCCTAACTGTCCTGAAGAGAGCCTTAATCCTCAGTGGTACATATAACCATAATTTCACTTATCCGTTGGGTCACTGGCTTCTGTTAAAGATTAACTGAGGCAAAAGATGTGAGAACACTATAAATTTAAAACATAATTTTTTTTCCTATTTTGTTTTCTATGCTGGACTTTTTTTAAGAGATTTCCTCCCCTATTGTTTCTTCTGATGTTCTTCCCTATGAGAGTCTTCCAGCACCCTCCCTCTCTTCCACAAAGCTCTACCCACGTGTGAGGATGACCTTAGGCCTTAGCCTAAGCTACTTAAAACTCCAGTTTGAGGGCTGGGGATATAGCTCAGTTGGTAGAGTGCTTGCCTCACGTGCACAAGGCCCTGGGTTCAATCCCCAGCACCTCCAAAAAATAAAAAAAAAATAAAATAAATAAAACTCCAGTTTGAAACCTTCAGTCTCCCCAGGCACACCTACAGAGCCCTCCAGCATGGCCCTCAGGCACAAACAAATCACTTCTCCCCACCCACACAAACACAGAGTGAAGTCTCTGACCAGACCAGAAGCTTTAACCCCAGGGCAAATGACATCACTGAGAAACCCAGTTGCCGCTAATGGGGATTGAAAGGGTGGTCAGAAGCCCCAAAATTTAGTATAAATGATGGAGCAAATGAATTGACATTCAGCCAGCCGACACTGATGCCCTCACACTGGAACACCTGCTGAGGATCTGGATGGACATCCCTACTCTTCTCATCGTTTGCCTGATCCTCACATCTTCCTCACCGCACTCAAACTCTACAGCCACAACTTGACCCTGGTGAGAGCCACGACTTCTCCCTACCACCTCAACTGGCTGTCAGCTCCACCCCAAGAGAAGCCTGCCTTGGTTCCTGACCTGATCTTGGTCTGAGTGAATGTCCATCTGCTGGACTTAGAGCCTAAGGCTTGAGACTTTAGCTTAGCATGCAGAGGGAATGTCTGTCATGAGCCTGTCATGATTAAGTGTGTTTGCAGTGCTTAGAATTAATCTAGAATTGTTTGCTGTGAATTGATTATGTCCATGCAGGGACCAGCATTAAGGACTGTCATTTTCTTGATTAAGAACCTATAGGGTAAAATTGTATCGAGTGATTTGAGTGAATAAAGCAAATAAGGACAGAAGAATATGGACATTCTTTATTTCTCCCCCTTGACTGCATAAGTCACATCTTTTGCCCATGGTGACACCACACATTTTAGGGATTTTTATTTGTTTGTTTGGTTGGTTTGGTACAGGGGTTGAACTCAGGGGTACTCTACCACTGAGCCACATCCCCTGCCCTATTTTGTATTTTATTTAGAAACAAGGTCTCACTGAGTTGCTTAGCAGCTTGCCATTGCTGAGATTGGCTTTGAACTTGTGATCCTCCTATCTCAGCCTCCCAAGCTGCTGGGATTACAGGCCTAAGCCACCACACCTGGCTTAGTTTTATTTTTTTTTTAAGAATTTTTTTTTTTTTTTTAGTTGTAGATGGACACAATACCTTTATTTTATTTATTTATTTTTTGTGTGGTGAGGAGGATCCAACCCAGGGCCTCACACATGCTAGGTGAATGCTCTAACACTGAGCTACAGCCTCAACTCCCAACATTTTTAAATATTTCAACAAATTCTACCTTGCTTCAGGGCCTTTTCTTGTGTTGTTTTTATCTGACTGTCCCATTTTTCGCTTTACCATCTTTTAGGTCTCTGAGTAAATGTCACTGGTTCAGAGGCTTTCTATAGCCCCAATATGGAAATCAGTTTCCAACTCTCAATTTTCATAAATTCTTCTTTCTTCATAGCTCTTATCAACTTACGTATTTGTTTGTGTGATTATTGATTTCATGTGAGCTTTCCCAGCCAGACTTCCTGCCTCAACTGGGCAGAAACTACATCTAGTTTTCTTTCCATGGTGTCTGGTACACGATGGCTGTTCTGTAGATACTTACCAAATTAATATAAACAAATCCTCAGACTATATTATCCAAATTAAAAAATTGAATCACATGTCCTAATAGATTTTTTCAATTGATGACTTTATATTAAAATTTGAAGCTGGGCACAGTGGTGCACACCTGTAATCTCAGAGCTGGAAGGCTGAGGCAGGAGGATCACAAGTTCAAGGCCAGCCTGAACAACTTATTGAGACTGTTTTGGCTTAGAGTGTAGTTCAGTGGTAGAGCGCTTGGCACACACAAGACCTTGTATTCAATCCTCAGTACCACACACACAMAAAAAAAGTTTGATAAATGTATCAAAATAAAATACATTTAGTATTACTACTAACAAATCATCTTTATTGAGTAAATACATGAAAAGAAACATAAGGGGCTGGGGTTGTAGCTCAGTGGCAAAGGCTTGCCTAGCACATGTGAGGCACTAGGTTTGATCCTTAGCACTACATAAAAGTAAACAAATAAAATTAAGGCATGCTGTCCATCTACAACTAAAAAAAAAAAAAAAAAACATAAAATTCAACAGACATACAACATACATCTAGGACATTTTCTTCTTCTCTTCCTCTTCGTTCTCCTTCTCCTTTTTTGGTGGTGCAGGGACTCAAACCCAGGGGCAAGCCCTCCACCACTGAGCTATACCACCAGCCATTTGCCCTTTGGAGAACTTTGTTCTTTCTTTTGTTTTGTTTTTTGTTGTTTTGTTTTTCCTTTTTTGGAGGTGTTTTTGTTTTGTTTTTCAGTTGGGAGTCTTCTATGTTGCCYGGGCTGACCTCAAATTTTCAATCCTCCTGCCTCAACCTCACGAGTGGCTGGGATTACAGGTGCACACCACTGTTGGTAAAATTTTTCATTAAACCCCAGACAGTGTTGGAAAATCCAGCCTGTGTCAAGGCTGATATAAACAAACCTAAACCAGGCCCAGCACATGCCTGCAATCCCAGCAACTCAGGAGGCTGAGGTAGTAGAATCCAAGGTTAAGGTCAGCTTCAGCAGCTTAGTGAAACCTTATTTCAAAATAAAATAAAAAGGACTAGGGATGTAACTCACAGGCAGAATGTTCCTGGATTCAGTCCTCTGTAACACATACACAAACACACACACACACACACACACACACACACACACACACACTTCAAATTCTGCTCTTCCCCAAAAAGTCTTAAGTTTTGTTCCAGGACCCAGAATATGATTGATTGGATTAAATGGATGATTCCACAAAAGAAGAAACATTGAAAACTTTAAAGTGTTACCACCACAACTAGAAAGAAAACCATGGGACTATATTTCTGGTTCATCTCCTTTGATGAAAAATCGCAGTTTTGTACAATATGGGGGGAAATGGTTTAAAGGTGGACTCTGGGGTTAGGAGCCCAGGTTCAAATCCCAGGTCCATCACTTGTAGCTGTATGAGCTCCAACAGGTTACTCAACATTCTGATCTAATTTCCTCTTCTGTAAAATAGGATAATAATAATTCTCACAGGATAGTTCTGAAAATTAAATGGGAAAATCTCTGAAAAGCCACATAGTAGCACAGTGTCTTGGCACGTAGTGAGACTAGATAAACATGCAAGATAACATGGAGAATATTGATGCCACACCGCCTCCTGGAGAACACACCTCTCCCCCTGCTGTGTGATAAGGAGCATAGATTACATGGTAGTTACAGTTTAATCAGTTACTTTTGTGAGGGGTGTGTTTCTCCTCAAAACCAACTGTTGCACTGTGACTTCTGATTCAAAGCAAATATTATTGYTGAGTGCCGTGGAAATATGCGCTCAGCTGACACGCCTGCACACCTTGTTTCC